GGGGGTGGGAAGGATAGGAGCGACCATTTAATAGGTAGAGTTTCCTTTTAGGGTGATGAAAATGTTCTGGAAATAGATAGCAGTGATGGTTGCAGAACATCATGAATGCATTAAATACCACAAAATTGTGTATTTAAAAATGGTACGTTTTATGTTATATGTATTTTAACATACACACCCAAAAAGGACTGCCTGTTTAAGACAACTGCATCTCAAAACATAACTGCTCAAGAGACAGCATCCTTTATGAACTCACTGTAATTCTCCAGTGATGTTTTCCTAATTTTCAAGTACTGTACATTAAGGAGCTCTAGTGGTGTAGTGGTTAAGGCATTTGGCTGCTAACCAAAAGGTCAGGGTTCAAACCTACCAGCTGTTCCACAGGAGAAAATGAGGCAGTTTGCTTCTGTAAAGATTTACAGCCTTAGAAATCCTCCAGGGCAGTTCTACACTGTCCTAAATGGTGGCATGAGTCAGAATTGACTTGATGGCAGTGGATTTTGGGGTTTGGTACATCTAGTAGAGATGCAAAGCCGAACATGTAATAGAAAGGGAAGAAAGAAAACACATTAGGTAGCGGCTTACTTTGAGATTTTTATTTCTTCCAATATGGAAGCTCTAGTGGCACAATGGTTAAGCCCTCAGCCATTAGCTGAAAGGTTGGCAGTTTAAATGAACCCAATGACTTCACAGAAGGTTAAGACTTGGCGATCTGCTACCATGAAGATTACAGCCTAGGCGACCCTATGGGGCAGTTCTACTCTGACATATTGGGTCTTTATGAGTCTGATTGACTCCACAGCCCCCAACATTTCATCCATTAAACTCACTTTCTGGCCTATAAATCCTGCTACTGAGAGATCCAGTGTAGGATGTGGCCATGTCATTAAGCTCAGTGAGGACTGTTAGAAGTACCTGAGTTACTATTGTTAAATTGAAGTCATGAGCAAAAAAATTAATGCTTTTGTTTTCATTCCATTTACTCAGCATTATCCAGGAAGGGGAAAAATTAGGTATGACTTTAATTAAGCAACTCATTTGATAGGCACTGAGAAGCTGAACTTTGAACAACAGGCCATTCTTAGTTTCAAGGCCCTGGATTCATTCTGAAAACACATTTTCTCTCTGAATCTCATTTTTTTCCAGTCATTGTAATTATCTGCTGAAATTCTTTTATTTTGCTTATTCCTGGAATATTTCCTTTTACTGGGGTGAAACCTTTGCCACCTGGCAGGGATCTTTCAAAGTGGGTAGGCAATTTTTCCCCCCTAGGTGAGGAGGTGCCTGGATTCTTCAGAAAAGCTCCATGCTGCTCATTTTACTGGACTCATGAGAGGCTATAAAGGGAAAGCTGTACATGGGGATCTTCAAGAATCCAAATAGCTCAAACAGGAGGGGCAATTCTGCTTGAAATGCTGGGGAAAACACTCAATACCATTTTTTGAGTACCCGCTATGGAACATACACCTCTAAAAAGGACATGGAGGTGGCATCTTCTGATCTCCTGTAACTTCACAAGAGGAAGACAGAATCACCATCAGCAGCCCAAGGCTTATTCCTATGAGGCCAGACATGCCGCCACCATCTAGCCTTTTTCCAATTCTGACACCAACCATCCCTCCCACGGCACTACTTCTCTGCTGGGTTTGACACGTTGCAATGGCTACACAGAACTCACAGACCATATCACGATTATGGGCTTTATTAGAGAAGTAACAGTCTACAATTCAGGTTCAGGAATGCCCTCAGATACCATTCTTTGATCAGGACAGTCTCCTCTCTGCTATGTCCTCAGGCATACCTCTCTGGCCCTTGGCCTCTTGGCCTGGCCTCTGCCCTGCATGGGCATTACAAAGCTCTTTTAGTTCTGCCAATAGGTACACCTACATGCACCCCCCTGACAGTAAGCCTCCTGCCTAAGGGCACTCAACTTTCTTGCTCTGTGGGCCAGGTAAGCTCGATGCTGTCTCATGCCTCTTGGTGCCATTGTGACAGTCTCTCTCTGTTGGGGTGTGTCTCTGCTAGGGCATGTCTCTGCCAGGGTGTCTCTCTGCTGCACACTTCTCTCTGCCGTGTCTCTGCCAAGGAGGTCCAGTGCAGGGATCCAAGGATACACTACTTCACCTCCAACTCCTCTCTTGATGGCAGTGAGATCCCCTCTCTGCATATAGGAGAGCTCATTTTAAGCCTGGCAGAGTGATAAATCTAGCCAATCCCAACATTAGAGTTCTACACAACTTATTTGCATGGTCCCACTATGCAATCCAATGGGAGTTACAAAGACTATGGCTAGCATTACCACACCAAATAATTCACTCCACTGCAACACCTCTATCCACATTTTATCATTTATTCCTTAAAAACTGCAGCAAGATAGGTATTATCCTCATTTTACACATAAGAATACTGAGGTTATTTGCCCAAAGCCACATACAGGTAGCAATCAGGATCTGAACCCAGATTGTTTGACTCAAACTTAAATGCTCTTCCTTTTAACCATTATGCTATGCTTCCAGGGAATGTTTCAGGTACCTTGAGTGGCACTGTTCAATATGGTAGCCCTAGTCAAATGTGGCTATCGAGAACTTGAAATATGACTACTCTGAATTGAGATGTGCTCCAAACTAGTTATTTTGAAGACTTAATGCAAAATTTTTTTTAAAAACTCACCAAGTTTCTTACATATCACATGGTGAAGTTGTATTTTAGATAATACTAAATATGTATTATTGTTTTTATCTTAATGTGGTTATGAGAAAAACAGTAAAAATTACACTTAGTTCTCATTTTATTTCTATTAGACAGCATTGATCTAGATCATTTTTACTTAGTTTCCCCAAAGTAAAATCTATGGGATTTGAAAGGGAAATTTCCAGGGATTTTAAAATGTCAACAGCGTTCATGCATGGTAGAAATGGTTAACACACTCAGCTGCTAACCAAAACGTTTGAGGTCAAGATCATCCAGATGCACTGCAAACAGCCTGGCAATCCACTTCCAAGAAATCAGCTATAAAACCCCACAGAGCACAGCTCTACTCTGACACACATGGAGTTGCTTTGACTTGGAACTGACTCGATGGCAACTGGCTCAAAACATCAGTAGGCTACATGCACTCCTTTTTAGTTTACTCTCTTTAATGTAATAAACACAGATATTGATACTCTGAAACCAAGGGATTTCCTACCCAGAGATCACAATAACTGAAGCTTTCTAAGCCTCAAAACCGTTCACTACAATGACTCTGTTTATGTATCTCTAACTTCTGAAGGGATACAATTTTGTTCTAATTAAAAAGCTGGCATATATATTTGACTAAACAGCATCATTGCTTAGTCTAGGATGATTAGGCCACATGGGCTGGCTAAAAGAAAAACCCTGGTGTTGAGAAATTAGAGGAAACCCTTTGGGAAGTCACAGATGGGCTAGGTCAGCAATGGGAAACTGCTGCTGGAGAGACTGAAATACTAAATAAATGTATGCTGGATAAATAAATTCATGTTATGGATCCAAGGAAGGTATACACAGGTAAAAAAGAATTCATGCCTTTTTGTTGTTCAAAACTTGTCACTTTATTTTTCTTGAAAATTTATATTTAAGCTTTTTGTCACTATCCACACCAGAGCTTAAAAAAAAAACAAAAAACAAAGCCTCAGCCACATTGTGAGTCTAGCCCCAATGCTGCAGTCATCCTCTCATCCGTTTCCTTGTAACAGCCTTTGTAAGGTTTGTATAAAATGTGGACCTTGGAAAACCAGTATTTCCTGTGAACTCGGCGAGCAGTGCCAAAACCAAATACCAAACCAAACGCACTGCCATCAAGTTGGATCCAACTCATAGCGACCCCTCTTTGGGTTTCCGAGGCAGTATCACTACAGAAGTAGATTGCCCAACCCTCCTTCTGAGGAGTGGCTGGTGGGTTTGAACCATCAGCCTTCTGGTAAAATCAGCAAACTAGAATAGTACAATCTCCTGGACCAAGGTAGAGTTGTGTACATATCTACATAGTCATACTGACTCACCAGTGGAATAAGGACATGTAAGTGGGCAAGAGTGCTCACGGGCGGTGCAAATGGTTAACAGGCTTGGCTGCTAACCAAAAGGTTGGAGGTTTGAATCTATCTAGAAGCACCCTGAGAGAAACTGGTGATCTACTTCTGAAAAACTATCCATTGAAAACCCTTTGGAGTATTAACTCTAATTCACATGGGGCTGGCATGAGTCAGAGTCAACTTGACTGCCATTGGTTAGGTTAGGATGACAAGAGTGAGGGAGAAACATCCACAGGACTGTGTGAACTGTGGCAGGGGCGGTACTGCATAACACTAAAGGGTTAAAGAATGGCTGGGATTTAACACCTACCTAGCTGCTTTCCTGAAAATGATTTATCTTCTAAAGATAAAGCTATCTAGGGTTTTTGTTTTGCTTTGTTTATGGAGTAAGTGAAGTCACTAATGTTAGTCCTTCTGGTTTAAAATAAAAGCAACTGGCTATGGTAATGCAGAGAAGGCAGCTGAATCACACCAGTATATTTAAGACTTACATTAAATTGAGTTACCTTACCTGGAAAAATGGAGTACTCACCAGTGGAAAAATTTAGTAAGGATTTAGCTGGAGTAAAAAAATACATGTCAATATACTAAATACTGAACAAAGATCCAAGATGTGGGATATTTAAAATACATTTCTCTTGGATCAGCACCAAAAATATAATTCTTTTTTTTTCCTGGACAATCTATGTTGTGTTTCAATATAGGTAAGTTAAAGTTATTTCTGATAAAAATTACAAACTCCACAGAAATTACAATATATACAAAAAACCTTCAAATACATTTTGACATCGAGATCAGGAAATTCACTTGGAAGGGCATTATTATGAGTGCCACCAAATTTTTGTAGTAAAGAGTTTTGATGTCAATTCTGTACTATGTATTTGAATATTTTACATCTCACATAAAGAGGCACTGGTACCTGGAAACTTATGAAAATTACTACAACTGTTAACACTGAGTTGAAGAATTTGTGCAGCCTTCCACAATTTCAAAGAGGTAGTGATAGATACTTGTTCTTCTGGCAATATCAAATGCTGTTTCATCCAAGTTGTTTTTCAGACCCGGTTTGATGTACCGATTCATCAGGAGGAGTTCCAGGGTATCTTTGCTGTCTCTGTTTCCAGCAGCAAGATGTAAGGGGGTCAAGAGGCCTTTCGTTTGGGCATTGATGTCTGCATCATGCTGAAGTAAGAAAGAAGCCACTCTGGTATTGTTCCACTTACAAGCACTGTGCAGAGGCGTCCAGCCATCCACAGTCACTGCGTGCACATCTGCTCCTCGCGCAATCAGCTCACGGACAACATCTAAGTGTCCACTATAAGATGCTCGGTGAAGAGGGGTATACTCATCTTCATCTCTCGTGTTCACATGTGTGGCCTTTTCAGAAAGCAGTCTCTGCACCGTAGTTAGCTAAGAAGAAAAAAAAACGATGTTAAAAATAACCCAACTCTAACTAAAATAATAAACAAAATAACACAGTCTAGTGTTATTTAACTTAATCTGATTAAAAAGTTACTTGTTAGCAGATGATTATAAAGTAAAAATAATTTAACATTTTTTTGGGGGTAGGGAAGAGGGCAACTGATGTAAAAACAAATTAGTGTTAAGCATGCTCTATTGCTTCTAAGAATATGACTCTCTGAACATCAAACCATGTTTACTCTTGGTTTGATTAAAGTTTATTGCACAAGAACTTTTATCCTAGGTGAACAATACAGGCTGTAATTGTTATTTAATATTTTATACTTGATCCATGAAGACACAATAATGTATTGACTTTTCCACATTAGGATCAATATATACAGTCCAAAAAATTTTTAAAATAAAGCTTCCTTTATCAGAATAATGGTAACAGGAAATCTACAAAGAGCTCAATTTCTTCTAACTAGAAAGACCTTACAATCATGCTTTCAGGTAGTGCTTTTCAGTTTGGTCTATTGCTGCAGAGTCCTCTTGGGTTAAAAAGTTATCAAAATATCCAAAAATACAAGTCTGTGTTAGTTATTATGGCTTAGTAACATAGACAGAGAGGAACTTAGCAAACTGAGGTAGAAGTGGTCAAGTAAATAGACTTTTGATGTTAATTCTCCTTGGATGACCCTGAAAAAATTAATATTCCTGATTTTCAATTGCTTCACTTGTGAAAGGGAAGAATAATACCTATTTTATAGGGCTATAAGCTCTGGTGGCACAGTGGTTAAAGCATTCAGTTCCTAATCAAAGGTTGGTGGTCCAAACCCACCAGCTGTTCCTTGGGAGATAGATGAGGCAGTCTGCTTCCATAAAGACTTACAGCCTTGTAAACCCTATGGGGCAGGTCTACTCTGTCCTATATGGTTGCTGAGTCAGAATCGACTTCATGGCAGCAGATTAGTAGGTATTTTATCAGACTATGAGAACTAGATCAAATATTATAGTCAGGCACTTAGCTAGTATTCAATAAATGTTAATTCCCTTTCCTAAAGAATACTTGGCTCTAGGATGATCATAATGATTTAATACGAATGATTTAGAAATATAGATGACTGCATCCTATCTTTATAGAAAATTACTATTATCTATATACCAAATTCGGAAGGAAGACTTGGCAATCTACTTCCGTAGAAATACAATCTCAGAAACCCAAGGAGGGGTTGCTATGACTTGGAACCAACTCGATGTCAGTGACTTTTTTTTTTTTTTTTAAATATACTGAATAATAAATAATATGACACTTAGAGGCCTAATAAGTACTTTTATGTACACAATCTCATTTGATTCGTACAGCCCAGCATAGACAGGTATTATACAGTAGTCCCTTTCTGAACTGCAGTTTTGCTTTCCTCCGTTTCAGTTACCCGTGGTCATCACAGTCTGTTAAATGAGTATGTAGCGTAAGGAAGGAAATCTCATGCTGTCTCACTTTGTTATTCACATAATTTTTATTCTAGTACATCATTATAACTATTCTATTTTATTATTAATTATTGCTTTTAATATCTTACTGTGCCTAATTTACAAATTAAACTTTATCAGACATATATATGTATAGGACAAAACATAGCATATATAAGTTTGGTATTATCTGCAATTTCAAGCATCCATGGGGAAGAGTGTCTCAGAATGTATCCCCCAGAGGTATGTGTGGACTTCTGTACTGTTCACTCTCATAGACGAGAAAATAAGAGGTTCAGAGGTGTTAAGAATTGCCCAAAGTTCCAGATTAAATAGAAGCAAATTTTCTGGTTCCAAACCCAATGTTTTCCCCCACTATATAAGTTTCCTCATTTTTACCCGATTTTTTTCAGCCGCCCAAAGAAGCAATTTGCTTGGATCTTTTTCCATTTTTTTTTCTTGCAGTTGATACCACTCTTCAGTTTTTTCATCTTGCTCCTCATCTTCATCAGAATTGCCTGCCCAGAGACTTTGGGTACCAGTAGGAATAAGGTGTCTGTGTGTTTCCAACAGTTCAAGTTGGTTAAAGTGTTCAGAAAAGTCCAAGGAATTCTCTGGGTCTGGTTTTCCATCATCATTTACTTTCTCTTTCTCCATCTTTACTGCTATTCTAAATAGAAAGCATTTCAAATGCCAGGGTATAAGTTTTCTAGAAATAAATTATGTCTACTTTACTGTATTCACCCAGATCTGAAAACATAAACACAAAAATTATTAGCAACACAGTAATAGTCTTCATCGATAACATAGGTAACAGTCTTGCAAACATACAAATAAACCCAGTCTAAACTTTTCAGTCTTTTCTCATGACTGCTACCCTTGACATTCACCAAATATTGGAGCTGATTTCAGTCATGTATGGACTTTAATGGGCCAACATTCCCCTCCCCCACTGCCTTTTTTTCCATCCTTCTACCAAGTCAGTGGTTATGACTGTGTTGTTTTGAATCTATTGGTTTAGGTATTATTGCATTATGCTAAGACTGATGAGGGAGCTCTGGTAGCATAGTGGCTAAGACACTTGCCTGCTAACCAGACGACTGGCGGTTCAAACCCACCAGCCACTCCTCGGAAGGAAGGTTGGGCAATCCTACTTCCGTAGTGATACTGCCTCGGAAACCCAAGGAGGGGTCGCTATGAGTCAGGTATGACTCGACGGCACATAACAACAACAACAACAACAACAAGACTGATGAATGCTTATAGTTCTTAAAAGTGTAAGTAATAAAATAAAGATAAGCACAATCAAGATAGTGCCTAAGGCATCTGACTGCTAACCAGAAGGCTGGAGGTTCAAACCCACCAGCCACTCCTCGGAAGGAAGATTGGGCAATCTACTTCCATAGTGATACCACCTCAGAAACCCAAGGAGGGGTTGCCATGAGTTGGATCCGACTCGATGGCAGCAAGTTTGGTTTTGGTTTTGGTTAGACAGACCTAACATAGGATAGAAATAAAAACTTTCAGTTTCTAAAAAATGTACTTCAAAGAATCAGGGATTCTTAGAGATGGGGCAGCCCCTAAAAGGCATCTGTCCCAATCTTTCACCAATGAAGGTATCTTTGTCACAACATCTGTAATAATCATCCTATTTCTACTTTCATATTCAGTGAGACCACTGTAGTTCTCACCTGTCTCATACTTATTTTGAACTTAATTTTGACTGTGATTCACTCTTTTAGTCAATAAATATGAACAAAATGTCTGGCATGTGACATTTTCTGGGTACTAGAATTTAATAAAGATTCATGTCTTGACATCAAGAATCTTAATATCTATTGGGGGGGTGACTGGCAAAGACAGTGTGGTAAGTGCGATGATAACAGGACCATGTCAAAATATTACACATATACCAAAATCAAAACCAAACCCACTGCCATTGAGTCAATTCCAACTCATAGCGAACCTATAGAACAGAACAGCATTGCCCCATAGGGTTTCCAAGGCATAAATCTTTATAGAAGCAGACTGCCTCATCTTTTTTTCCCACAGAGGCTAGTGGGTTCAAACCACTGACCTTTTGATTAGCAGCCCAATGCTTTAACCATGGGGCCACCAGAGCTCCCTAATACATATACAAAACCCACTGCCATTGGGTAGATTCTGACCCATAGCAATCCATAAGGTTTCCAAGGTGGTAAATCTTTATGTAGTAGACTGCCTCATCTTCCCCAGGCAGAGCAGCTGGTGGGTTTGAACCACCAACCTTCTGGTTAGCAGCCAAATGTCTTAACCACTGCACCACCAGAGATCCTTATGCATAAAGGTCATAATTAACCCACTTCCTAAGGATCAGAGAAGGCTTTCTGACAGAAAGGATGCTTCTCTGGTAGGCTGCCTTATTCATTTTTATGTTGAAAAAGTTACAAGGCATATTAAAATTCCCAACTAAAGAAAATGAGAATAAGTAATAGATATTTTTAAAAATTATTTGCTAAGACTGTTTCTTCAACCTCTCAATTATGTTGGCTGAAATCTTATTAGTCTGTCAAGGCTCTTCTCAGATGCTGCCCCTTTCATCAAGTCTTTGCTTCTCCAAATTAGACTTCATTTTGCTTTCTGCTTTTTTTGTTTTGGTGCTATTTATTACCTGTATTTCATCAGTAACTTCGCTTTTGTTTTAGCCCCTTAAAAAGAATGTGATAGGGCGCCCTGGAGAGAACAATCATGGGAGAAGGAAGGGCTGCTTATGCACAGGGAGATAGCTCAGGGTGCAGAAGAGTATCAAGGGATGGACACTGGGAGGAGGTAACTGTGGGGAGGAAGTGGGAGGGGAGCTGCTGCATTGTAAATTTTGGTCAATGACATGAGACAAAGTATATGTCAACTGCTGTATGAAAAGTGAATTTACTCTGTAAATCTTCACCCAAATCCTAAAAAAAAAAAAAAAGAATGTGATAGGGGCTATGTTTAACTTATATTTGTTCCACTTACATACACTGTTGTTGTTGTTATGTACCGTAGAGTTGGACCCGACTCATAGTGACCCCTCCTTGGGTTTCCGAGGCAGTATCACTACAGAAGTAGATTGCCCCATCTTCCTTCTGAGGAGTGGTTGGTGAGTTTGAACCGCCAGCCTTCTGGTTAGCAGTCAAGTGCCTTAGGCACTATGCTACCAGAGCTCCCGTTACATACACTTGTTGTTGTTGTTGTTGTTGTTATGTGCCGTCGAGTCGGACCCGACTTATAGCGACCCTTCCTTGGGTTTCTGAGGCAGTATCACTACGGAAGTAGATTGCCCCATTTTCCTTCGTAGGAGTGGCTGGTGCGTTTGAACCGCCAGCCTTCTGGTTACATATACTAGGTATTAAGAAATATTTGTAGAATTGAGTTTCATTAAAGCCCTATCACTTGATTTTGCCTAAAATGGATTCTGAGACACTCCAGAGTCAGTCATACCCCTCAGATACTGATTTCTTTCTACCTAATTTCACAAGTTTAATAGTCTTTCTACCTAATTTCACAAGTTTAATAGTATACTATCCTAATGCTATATTAGACTTCATTACTAGTGGTAAGAGCACTAAACTCAAGTTCAAATCTATTACTCATGAATAGTAACTTCTCTGGGCCTGTTGCTTCATTTGTAAAATGTTACGGTTGTACTAAAGGATTTCCAAGGGCTCGCCAGCTTTTCAGGATGACTGGGCAATCTACTTCTGTAAAGATTCACTGCCTCGGAAAGGGGGTGGCTATGAGTTGGAATCGACTTGATGGCAGTGAGTTTGGGTTGGTTTGGTTTTTGGCCAGCTTTTCAGCCTATTGAGAGACTCTATTGGAACTAATTTATGTTTTATCAGTTTTCCTGGAGTTTCCTTTTTTTTTTTCTTTTAGTCTCAAACTATTTCCTGAACCTTACAGCACAAGTGATTTTACATCAGTTATTTAAATATTTAACAGATACCTATAAATAATGTATGATGGAAAGTTTGCTTGTTAATTATATCACACAGAGTAACATTATAGCATACATATTTTAACCTCCAAACGCCTTTTCTTTTTTATAAAAACTTCTTTTTTACAAATTCTGAATTTACAGCTCCAGATACAAAAAATTATCTTAAGATTTGTTGGCTGATTTAATTCCAAAAGCCAATGCCAGGTGCATCTCTTTGATTCAGGATTTTAAGAAACCTACCTAAGGCACTTGACTGCTAACCAGAAGGCTGGAGGTTCAAACCCACAGTCACTCCTCGGAAGGAATGTTGGGCAATCTACTTCCGTAGTGATACTGCCTCTGAAACCCAAGGAGGGGTCGCTATGAGTCGGGTCGACTCGATGGTACATAACAACCACCACCAAGATTCTTACTTGATATTCCAAGAAGACATAGGGTGTGTTTCTTAATTTAAAGGGCACATTCCATTTTCAGAGATCTCCACTCCTCGGAAGGAAGATGGGGCAATCTACTTCCGTAGTGATACTGCCTCGGAAACCCAAGGGAGGGGTCACTATGAGTCGAGTCCGACTCAACGGCACACAACAACAACAACAACAACAAACCAGGTCAGAGGAGCTCTGGTAGCATAATGCCTAAGGCACTTGACTGCTAACCAGAAGGCTGGCGGTTCAAACCCACCAGCCACTCCTCGGAAGGAAGGTTGAGCAATGTACTTCTGTAGTGATACCGCTTCGGAAACCTATGAGTCGGACTGGACCGCACTTAACAACAACAAACCATGTCAGCGCCTCACAAGTCTGGCAGGTGGGGCTAAAATTCCCATGTTAAAGATGAAGGCGCTGCGGTTCACAGATTAAAACAACTTGCTCTACATCAAAAACGGTTCAATGGAACTGAAAAGCCAGACATTCAAAAGATTGACAGTTTTTTTTTTACAACCTTGTATTTTACAGCTCTCAGCACAAAGCAATTAAGATATGCTGAGCCCGTGGATCCAGTGGCCACAGTAAGGGGGAGGAGGAAATAAAGAGACGCCTGTAAACTGAAGGATCTGAATGATCTAACTCTGGCGAAGAGTGAGACAGAGGGATCAAGATCGGTCATCAGTCCTGGGCGGCTAGACACTTCCCGGACTGGGAGTCTCCCCTGCGGCCTCTAGACAGCAAAGAGCCGAGGAAAAGCTGTTTCAACCCTACCTGGGTCCCACGATGCGGCCTTACTTGCAAGTGTCGGTGGGGACCGACAAATGGCCCTTTCCTACGGTCCAAACGTTCGTAGTTGGCACAAGGCGACCAGAAAGCGTGGTCAGAGACAGGCAAGAGTCACCACACAGAAGGGAAATCGCCGGCGCGAATCTCGCTTCCGGGGCTCCTCCTGTAGGCTGCTCAGATTGGCTACTGCACAGGAGCGGGACTTCGCCTCTACTTTCCCAGCTCCTCATTACTTTCCGCAGCCTATGAGAGCCTAAGAGGAAGTCATCGATAAAGTATCGCGAGAGGAACATCTACTTTTCTCTCCCGCCTAATTCAGGTTTATGGCCAAGAGGATTTAGTCTTAGTTGATACTGCGTGCGTTCTTCTCACGAGTTTCGCTCCATCTTCCCCGGTAAAAGACTGCCTCGCGTCCCGAGTGCCGGGACTTTTGAGAGTCCAGGTTTGGGCTACTTTAGGAGTCATAGCCTTTTTATTTTTGCAGGTTTCCGGGCTAGATCCCAGAATGGATTCGACCCGGGGGAGGGGTGGCAGGGACCAGATGGGGTTCTGTTGGGGTCCTGGTGGGCTCTGCGATTCTGAATTTAAAGAGTAGATGACTTTGGTGGGGACTTGGTGAGGCTTGGAATCTCGAAGGAACCGGAAACGCAGGACGTGGAGGGTGGTTTCGCGGTGGCAGCGACTCTAAATATTTTAGCCATTTTCAGTTCTGTGGGCGCCTGCAGGTGTTCCTCCGTGAACCACGTGTTAGATTCTGCTGTTTGTTTATACTAGCTTTATAGTTGCACCCTTCGCTTTCCACAAGCTTATTACTTTCAAAACTTTTGTGTTGAGCAGGAAGTAGGGGGCTGCCTTCATGTTCTAAAGTAGCCTACGCAGGCAACTTAAGAAAAATTAGTGCACATCCAGAGTTAGTGTGCTAAATCAGAGCTATGACGTGACCCTTTTTTGCCCGTTCATTTAACAAACATTTTAAAAAAATAGTTCCCCATAAGGTCATGCTCAAGGAAAATATTAGATGAGTTTATTCATAATAGCTAATAGAATGGCACTAGAGATATGTTATTTTCATTTCTCAGCTCATTGAAAAATAGAAGCACTATTGATGAAAATGAGATTGTATTCCGAAATTGCTATTCTGCTTATCTAAGAAGTCTGCCCTATGCAACCTAACTCAAATTGGTTAAATAATGTGCAACCTTTTAAAACGTATGTTTTGTTCTGTGTGTGTATATGTTGTTGTTAGGTGCCGTCTAGTCGGACCCGGCTCATAGCGACCCCTCCTTGGGTTTCCAAGGCAGTATCACTACAGAAGTAGATTGCCCAGCCTTCCTTCCGAGGAGTGGCTGGCGGGTTTGAACCGCCAGCTTTCTGGTTAGCAGTCAAGTGCCTTAGGCACTGTGCTACCAGAGTGTGTGTGTGTGTGTGTGTGTGTGTGTGTGTGTATGTATATTTAAAGATTTTATAGAGCTCTCAAAAAACCAAACTCACTGCTATGGAGTGGATTCTGACTCATAGCGACCCCCATCGGATTTCCAGGGCTGTAAATCTTTATGGAAACAGACTGCCTCTTCTGGCTTCCTCAGAGGAGCTGTTGGGTTTAGAACCAGCAACCTTTTGGTTAGCAGTCAAATGCCTTGACACTACACCACCAGATCACCTTTCGTAGACCTTTAGCTCCTGGTTTATTAATTTAGGTTTTTTTGTGTGTGTTTTTGAACATTTTATTGTGGTTTGGGTGAAAGTTTACAGAGAAAATTAGTTTCCCATTCAACAATTTATACACGTTTTGTGACTTTAGTTGCAATCCCCTCAATGTAACAGCACTCTTCCCAGTTCCTCCCTGGATTTCCCTTTGCATTCTCCCATTTTTCCTGCTTTCTGAACTTTGTTGCTGGGCAAATGCTGTCCTATTGTTGATTGTTCTCAGTGTAATAATGTAATTTTGTTTTTGGAATTTGCTAGCAGGAATTGAAATAAGTTTTCTGTCATTTTGTCACAGGACCTACAGGTGCTTGCAGAAGGAATCTGGTCCCTGAGGAGCTGGACTGAACGTAAAGATGAGTCCGGCAGATGCACTGTAAGTACATCTGTGTTTTGGAGTCTTTGTTACTTTGGGTTTCTAAATCCCATTAGCTATGACCACCATAGAAGAAAACTTCTTTAATAAAGTTAACAATGTACTAATAAGAGTTAGCCTGTGAATAAGTATAAATAGGCAAAAAGAATATTTGTTGTTGTTGTTGTTATGTGCCGTCGAGTCGGCCCCGACTCATAGTGACCCCTCCTTGGGTTTCCGAGGCAGTATCACTACGGAAGTAGGATTGCCCAACCTTCCTCGGAAGAAAGGTTGGGCAATCCTACTTCAAAAGAATATTTAGAATGATTAAAAATTAATATCATACATTTAAAAGATGTTATACATGTATTATTTGGGATCTTGCAGTAATTTGATATGTACCATCATATATATGTCTATGTTTTTAAGTTTTGTTTTAAAATCGAACCTATAAGTATTATTGAACTTGCATTATGAAGTCTTTGCTTACTAATCAATGCAATTCTATTTAAGCAGTTTTATAGGAATAAATTGCTGTAGTATTGAATCAAGGTGCTATGGTGCTATAGTGTGGAAGGCATTTGGCTGCTAAGCAAATGGTTGGTGGTTTTAACCCATCAGCTGCATCACAGAAGAAAGATGAGGCACTCTGCTTCCTTAAAGATTTATAGTTTTGAAAACCCAGTGGGGTCACTATGAGTCGGAATTAACTTGATGACAGTGAGTTTGAGTATTGAATCCAACTGGAAATGAATTTGACTAAAATGAAAGAAAATAAAAGGACTCTATCTTTTCTTGAAAAATTATGTGGAAAAAGCTAGACTTGAAATTTTCCACCCCAATTTTGGTCAATATAAGCTGTATGACCCCAGGCAAGCCAGCAGTTCCCTGAGCCTTGTCACAATTTCTTCATTTATGTAATAGTAATGACACCATTCTTGGAGTAATTTGGAGGTTGAAATGACAGAATTTATGTGAAAATACTTGGTCACTTGTTTTGGAAGCTTGAGGTGGTAGTGTAATCTGCAAGATTCTCTGAGCTTCCTATGTATATAACAATCAGAACTGTGTGGATTTTATTTTTAAAGGTTTAAAAGAGTTTTTGAAGAGAACTCTTTTTTTTTTTTTTGAAACATCTTTTGTATATAAAGATGTGAATTTTGTGTGTACAAAGTTTTTAAATTTCATTATACAGTTCAGTGAAAATAACCTGCATTTTAATCCTGGGTTTTATTTATCCTGCCCCTACCACTAGTTGTGTGATAAATTAGGTAATTTCTGTCCTTAGTCATCTTCTGTTTTCAAAGATAATACTTACCTCTTTATAAGTGGGAATTGAGATCATAGATAGAAATACATTTAAAATAAAAGTGAATTTAACTACAATTTTTATTTGTACTTCTTGTGAAAATATTTTTGAGTAATAAAAACCTAAACCAGAACCATTGCTGTCCAATTGATTATGACTCATAGTTACCCTGTAGGGCAGAGTAGAACTGCCCATTAGAGTTTCCAAGGCTGAAATCTTTAGAGAAGCAGATTGCCACATCTTTTCTCTCACAGCTAGTGGGTTAAAACTGCCGACCTTTCAGTTAACAGCCAAGTGCTTAACCGCAGCGCCCCCAAGGTTCCTGTTTTAAATTGAATTGTAAATAATTCTGTTTTGTCACATGGCTAAACTTACTAATGAAAAACTAACTTTGTATAGAAAGTTGAATAAAGCAAATGAATGTATGGAACTAGCTTATCAGTTTAACATCTACTTACAAAATTAGAGGAAGGGCTTTTAAATTAACCACTTAATTCTGACTTTTCTGGAAAAGTGGAAAATTAAATAAATAGCAAGTTTAGAGATTGAGCTCAATGGTTTTGTGTGTGTGTGTGTGTGTGAAACAGAATAGGAAAGAAACTTTCAGGTCCAGATTGCATTGTTGTTTTCAATTGTACTATAAGTCCATGACTATATGATTGCATAAAACTGATTACAACAAGATTATACAATTTTGAAGTAGTTATAAAACCTTTTTAAAGTTTATAAGCATTCATTTTGTATTGAGTTAGTGGTAGTAAATTTATGTGACTTAAAAATTTGTTGAATACCATAAATTTTCAGACCATGATTTTACTCTGTAACTGCTGCTATTTATCTTACAAATTTAGGTCTCAGTTTACATGATCATCCTTTTAATTAATCACATTGAGACATTTCTTCTTTTTTAATACAGTGATGATGAAAATACCTTTAAAATCTTAGTAGCAACGGATATTCACCTTGGATTTATGGAGAAAGATGGAATCAGAGGAAATGATACGTTTGTCACACTCGATGAAATTTTAAGACTTGCCCAGGAAAATGAAGTGAGTTTGGTGTACATTTCTGTAGTTTCTACTCTATTCTTAGTCAGCAAGTCCTTTTCTAAAATTTTATAGGCTCGTGCTCATATTGCCTGTTTAAATAACAGTATACTAAAAACCCAAAGTAGATTTGATATGCTTTTGTGTCCTTAAGGAGCTCTGATGGCACAGTGGTTAAAGCATTTGGATGCTAACTAAAAGGTTAGTGATTAGAACCCACCACCTTCTCCATGGGAGAAAGAGGTGGCAGTTTGCTTCCATAAAGATTTACAGCTCAGTTCTGCTTTGTCCTCTACGGTGGCTATGAATGAGCTGGAATTGACTCAGTGGCAGTGGTTTGGATTGGGTGGGTTTTGTGTCCTTAATTCAACTAGGTATTTGCTTTTGTGAAAAGTCTTAAAATTTACAGATATTTACGGGTGTTTACTATGTGCAGTATACTATGGTTGTTTCCATAGAGTTGTAAAGATAACTGTCATAGTTTCTGCTTAGAAAACATAGAGCAAGTCAGTACCTAATATGACAAATATCCAGAAACTTCTGGTACAAAGTTATAGGTATAAGAAAGTTATAAACAGCATTTCCTGGGGCTTTAGAAGTGGAAGAGATCACATTTCTATGATGCAGAAAGGACATTGGGGGGGGGGGCATCTTCTGACCTCTAACTTCACAAGTGGGAGAGAGAATTACCAGCTACTGCCTAAGGCTAATTACTATGAGGCCAGATATGCCACTACCCTCCAATGTTTTTACTGATTCTGACAACTGCTGCCCTTCCCAAGACACTCACTACTTATCTGCTGAGTTCGATAGTTCATTGCAGTGCCTACACAGAACTCAGGGACAATACTCAATGATTATGGAGTTTATTAGGGAAGTAACAGGCTACAATTCAGGTTCAGGAACAGTTAGGATGCAATTCTTTAGTCAGGACAGCCACCCCTTGGCCATGCATAAAGGCATGCTTCTCTTTGGCCCTCAGCCTCTCCCCCTGGCCTCTCTACCCTGCTTGGGCAAGAGTTACAAAGGTTTTTTAGCTCTACCTATTGGGGCACCAGGAGCTCTGGTGATGTAGTGCCTAAGACATTTGACTGCTAACCAGAAGGCTGGCGGTTCATACCCACTAGCCACTCCTCGAAAGGAAGATTGGGCAATCTACTACCATAGAGATACTGCCTTGGAAACCCAAGGAGGGGTCACTGAGTTGGAACTGACTCAGTGGGAGTCAGTGAGTGAGATAGGGGCACCAGGGTGCACCTCACTCCACAAGCAAGCCTCCTGCCCAGAGGCACACAACTTTCTTGCTCCTTGGGCCAGCAAGCCTGCTGCTCTGTCTCATGCCGGTCTTTGAGTTCTGCTGCTCTGCTGCCATCTCGGCTGGTCCCTCTGCCAAGGAAGTCCACCACAGTCATCTTGAGTCCAAGGGCACACTTCATTCTATCTCCTGCTCTTCTCTCTTGATGGCAGCGAGATCCCCCCTTCTGCCTCTAAGATGGCTCACTTTAAGCAAGGCAGTTGACAAAACTGACCAGTCCCAGTATTAGGGTTCCATATACCTTATTCCCATGGCCCTATTTCCACAAAGATGCCATGTACCTTACTTACATTACTAGCAAGCTATCCAATCCCTTTGGTGGACCACAAGCACCTTACTTATGCACAGTTGCATCCAGTAATCTGGTGGGAATCAAAATGACCATGGCTAGTAGAACCATGCCACTGTAGATGAGCTTAATGAAGGCTCTAGCGTTTAACTTGGATTTTGCTGGATGGGTAGGCTTTTGACAGGTGTAGAGCGTAAAGAGCACATATTCCAGGGGAATGATGAGACAGTATGAAATATGTTAGGGAACCAGAAGGTCTTTCTGGCTCACCATGTGTCTGAAAGCATGCTGAAACAGCAGGAGTACAGGTTTGAGCTACATTAAGGAGGGCTTCAAATACCGGGTTGAGGACTTTATACTCAATTCAATAGAAGGTCTTCTGGCAGTAGGGGATAGCATGAATTGGAGACCAGGTTATGGCATTGGGGATGGAAAAGGGGACATGAATGCAAGTAATATATAGAATTTGCATACTCTGGTTAGTTGTAGGTAGCAAGGATAAAAGGGGGTGACAGTGATTCTAATGTGTGTTGAGTCCGGGTGAATAGTGGTACTAGTAATCTAACTATCTAGCCAACCAGTTGCCATCCAGCCAATTCTGACTCATGATGACCGCATATGTGTTGCTGTAGAACTATGCTTCATAGGGTTTTCAATGGCTGATTTTTCTCATTCTTCCTAGTCAGTTTTAGTCTGGAAGCTCTGAAAAGCATTGTAGAAATACGTAAGCCTCCACTTAATGAAGGCCATGGCATTAAGATGGGTGGTGGCTGTGCATGAGGTGCATTGACTGGAAGTCCAATCTGGGTCTCCCAAACAGAAGGCAAGAATTCTACACTGAACCACAATGCTACTTACTTAAATTTGTTAATTGAATAAGAGAATGGCTGATAATTGTCTCCTTTTAAGATGTATTTCTCTTTCCCTATGGTCAGAAAAATCTTGCCACCAAAGGCCCTCAATTTCCTGCCAGAGAATCCTGTCTGATCTTACCTTTTTAAAAAAAAAAAAAAAACTCTTGGGGATAAAGTATTCCTTTCCTTAGAATGAATTTGAGCCTAAGTTGCTCACCTCTACTTTGTTCTCTCTTGCCCTTCTGTTTCCTCTTGTTTTCCTTCTTAATCTTAACCCCCTCCTTTCCCATGCTGGAACTTTCAGATGCATATTATTTTTACTCTTTCCCTAAATTTGTATCAAATATTTTTTTATTATTGAAATATGTCTAAGTTCTTCTTGCTTTTTAAGTGTTTTATTATATGGGCTCATGCCACCTCACCAACCTTATTTTTATTCCCTAGCTCTAGTGGTATAGTGCCTAAGGCACTTGACTGCTAACCAGAAGGCTGGTGGTTCAAACACACCAGCCACTTCTCGGGAGGAAGGTTGGGCAATCTACTTCTGTAGTGATACTGCCTCAGAAACCCAGGGAGGGGTCTCTATGAGTTGGGTCCGACTCTACAGCACATAACAACAACAGGTTGCTTGAAGTTTTGTTTTAACTTTTCAGTTTGAAATAATTTTAGACTTAACAGAAAAGTTGCAAGAGTAGTACAAAGAATTCTGTATTCTTTACTTAGATTTACCAACATTCTACCATATTTGCTTTATCATTCTCTGTCTTTATATATGCATATTTATTTTTTCTTGTTACTGAAGCACTTGAGAGTGAGTTGTATAAGTAAGTCGAATGAATAACCAATGGACAGTTATCAAAACCAATTAATATTGATTCAGTACTATTATGTAATTTAAAAATGTTGCCCGTTGCTCCAGCAATGTCTATTAAAGCAGTTGGAGGTTGGGGCAGTAGTGTCTAGGATCCTATCCAGGATTACCTACTGCATTTAGTTGTCATGTCTCTTTGTGTCTTTAGTTTCCTTTCATCTGGTATATTCCTCTGTCTGCCTTTGTCTTTTGTGCCCTGTTGCTCTGAAGATTTATTTTGAAAATGTTCCTCACTTATGTGTGGCTGATATTTCCTCATGAGAAACCATTTTAATTTTCCTAGAATCCACATTCCTGGGTCCTTGGAGTTGGGTTGACCTCTCATGCCATCTACCTTAAATGTCCTTTTGAACCTTGAACCTTTAAGAAACTGTTTTCCTAAAAATCACCTTCAGGTCAAACAGTAGCCTATTAAGCAACTTGGTGGAAACCATTTTACTTTAGTCATTGGGTTCTTTTAGAGAATTATCTATGCAGCCAGTTTCGAGGACCAGGAACTACAGAGTCTGAGTGGAAAATGTGTAGCATGTCCTTTCTACAGCTGACCAACACTGGAACCCTGCATGTGTTCACAAATTAACATGACAATGACCTATAACCCATCTTCATTATCCCTTCTTCAGAGCACCTTCTCCCAGTAGATACGTTAGGGTTGATGCTACCCAATTTGAATTATATCTGCTTACAATAAATATATTCTGTTACACTAATTTTTAGTGTTGCTCTGTGCATTTAGGTTTTTGACACGTGACTAGACTGTTTTTGTCAGGAATGCCATACATGTGCGTTGTGCCCTTCTTAGTATTCCCTGGAGTCATGAGCCAGTTTTTAAAAAGTTTTAGTTTGTTTTGTTATTTTTGTTTTGTTTCTTCATGCCTTTTATTATCATTTTCTTCCCTTACTCAAATCCTATTCATTCTCAAAGGCCTAGTAAATCCTGCATTTCTGATTGAAGTTTCTCTGACTACTCTAGCCCACAGTGATCTATACTCCTGGGTTCTAGATAAGCTGTACAATTAAGAACTTAAGTTTCTTTAGGCCGATTGTGCATTTCTTGGAAGTTTGTGTGTGCTGAATTTTTTTTTTCAGTTTTCTGTATAATTTCCTCCTTCCCTGATGCTGTTCCTAGAATGTTGTTGTTGTTGTTATGTGCCGTCAAGTCAGACCCAACTCATAGTGACCCCTCCTTTGGTTTCCGAGGCAATATCACTACGGAAGTAGATTGCTTCATCTTCCTTCTGAGGAGTGGCTGGTGGGTTTGAACCACCAGCTTCTGGTTAGCCGTCAAGTGCCTTATGCATTACCCTACCAGAGCTCCTGTTCCTAGAATACTCTTCCTTAAAATCTTACTTATCCTTTATGGTGCAACCATTGCCATCACGTTAATGCAGCCTTCCCGGACTTTCCCTTAGAATTTCCTATCCTTAGAATTAATTGTAATGCCATCTCTGCTTCTGATTTGTTTACATATCCATTCTGGTGCATGTCAAGAGTCTAACTTGTGTTTAGATATATAACAATTTATCTCTTCCATTAGATTTGCAATATATTTAGAATTGGGATCATGTTTTATTCATCATTATATTCTCAGGATCTATCTGGTACAGGGTATTGTTCATCGTTGGTATTTAATGAGAGTAGAGACATTATCTATTTTATTTATTGCTATTTCCTTAGTATTCAGGGCCTGTGGGTACTCTATAAATAATGATCAAATGAATTGAATTGATTATTTCAGCTAGTTTCTGTTAAAGTCCTAAATTTGTGTTTGATTTGAATAATAAATATGATCACCTTGGGTAGTTTGAGTCAGGCACTTGGTATAGCAATTTGAAGATTATTTCTTTGAAGATGAAGTTCCTGGGTGATGCGAAGGGTTAACTTGCTTGATTGCTAACCAGAAGGTTAGAGGTTCAAGTCCACCCAAAGGCACCTTGGAGAAAAAAGCTTGGTTATCTACCTCTAAAACATCAACCATTGAAAACCTGTGACATACAGGGTCAGAATCTGCTTGATAACAACTGTTTTTTTTTTTGTTTTGTTTTTGAGGGTGGCTCAGGAACCCAAGTTGGAGTCATATTAGTTACTGGATTAGAAGGCCTTTTCAATAAAAAAAGGAAAAACTTAAGTCCCTATAAATAACTAGGAGGTCTGGTGTTGTAGTGCCTAAGGAATTTGACTACTAACCAGAGGCTGGCGGTTCAAATCCACCAGCCATTCCTCACAAGGAAGAATGGGCAACCTACTTCCATAGAGATACCGCCTCGGAAACCCAAGGAGGGGTCTCTATGAGTTGGAAATAACTTGATGGTAGTGAGGTTTTTTTTTTAATAAATAGCTAGTGTCTTTTGTAATTTTTTTCTTGTTCTTTCTGTCTAAATTTTTGAAAATTTACCTATGAAACATACTAATTTTAACACAATTTTCTGTTGATTAGGTGGATTTTATTTTGTTAGGTGGTGATCTTTTTCATGAGAATAAGCCATCAAGAAAAACATTACATACCTGCCTGGAGTTACTAAGGAAATACTGCATGGGTGATCGTCCTGTACAGTTTGAAATTATTAGTGACCAGTCAGTCAACTTCGGTTTTAGTAAGTAAGTATGTTTATATGCTTTAGTAAATGTTTCTTTTTGAACATTATTGTATTAATTTCCATTTCCTAATTAATCGTGGAACTAAGTATCTCAAATTTTTATTGGCCATTTTGGAATCTTCTGTTCATATCCTTTGCTAATTTTAAAAATTGGGTTTATATTTTTTTATCTTTCTCTACATATCAAAGTTTTAAGCATGCCTCATTTCATTTCACCTTGCAGATACTCCATTTTTTACAAATTGAAGGTTTGTGGCAACCTGCATTAAACAAGTGTGTTGGTACCATTTTTCCAATAGCATGTGCTCATTTTGTGTCTCTGTCACATTTTGATAATTTTTACAATATTTCAAACATTTTCATAATGCTCTTGTACATTTAGTACATCACAATATAGCATAAACGTAACTTTTATATGCAGTGGGAAACCAAAATATTTGTGTGACTCGCTTTATTGCAATATTTGCTGTATTGTGGTCGTCTGGAACCGAACCTGCAATATCTCCGCAGTATGCCTGTATTTATATTTTCTACGTACTAAAGATTAGTAAGAAGTCCTAATTGCACAGTGGTTAAAGTGCTCAGCTGCTAACTGAATGTTGGTGGTTTGAACCCACCAGCCACTCTGCACAAGAAAGATGTGGCAGTCTGCTTCCGTAAAGGTTTATAGCGTTGGAAATCCTATGGAATAGCTCTACTCTGTCCTGTAGGGGTGGCTGTGAGTTGGAATGAATTTGACAGCCATGGATTAAAGATTTGTCAGGCATACTTTTCTCCCAAACAATGGATGGAATTTTGACTTGGTTTATGGGATCTTTTGTTGACAAAATATGTAATTTTTACATAGTCAAAAGTATGGGCCTTTTTCTTTACAATTTATACCTTTTGGGTTTATTTAAGAAACCCTTCTAGAATCCAGTGTCATAAAGATATTCTCATGATTTTCTTTTCTTTCTGTAAGTATTATATAGGATATGACATTACATTAAGTTGAAATTTTTTTTAGTCTTTAGTCTGTGACAGATTCTTAGTCTTTTCTTGTCATTCATAACTGTATTGGATATCTACTGCCACTCTGACAGGAATATATCACAAATGGGATAGCTTGAACAAATAGGAGTTTATTCTCTTACAGTTTGGAGGTTTTAAGTCCAGGTTCAAAGTGCCAGGCTCTAGGTGCTGGGTGAAATCACCTCAACCTTGGGCTTTACCTCTGCTGCCTGCTCCTGGCCCACTGAAGCTGGAGGCTTTTCTTCACTCAGACAGCTACTGGCTGATGAGGCTGACAAACCCAAGGTTGACAAGTAAAATGGTACAGTCCCAATGTTACCAAACAACACGGCAGGCCATTGATTCAAGTTCATTAAAAGTCCCAGGATCAGCAGAGCATGGCAGGCTGCTGAACAGTGCCTTGGCTACATGCAGGGTTCAAGCATGCTAAAAAGCTGGAGACCAATCCCAAAGCATCTCCTTATATACTGGAAGCAGACCGAATCTCTAAAGCAGTTACTCAGTTGCTTGTGGTGGATTTCACCATAGAGTTGATTACCAATCTCACCATGGGAAATAACTATATCCAGCTGCCTAGCCACATAACCATGCCCAGCCAAGTTGACATAAAACCTAAACTACCACAATAACTTTGACTTTGGACAGTAGTGGTCAATTTGGGTTTTTCTGATGTTTTTTCATTGATTAGACTGGAATTATGAGTCTGAGAGAAGAACAACACAGAGGTGAAGTGCAATTCTCATAGCATCATAGTAGGGGTACATCAAATCAACATGACTTATCACTGGTGATACTAACTTTGATCACTTGGTTAAGGTACCTGTCAGTTTTATACACTGTAAGCTTGCTATTTTTCCTTTTCCATACTTGTTAAAAGTAAATCACTCAACGGGAGGGGGAATTAAGCTCAACTTCCTGGAGCAAGGAGTACCGAAGAATTTGTTCAACATATGTTAAGAATCACCACAGTAAATAATACACATTTGGGGGAACATATTTTGAGGCTATGCAAAACTGTTTTGCCTTCTAATTTTAGCATTTATCAGTAGAACACTTACTACTGTGGTGTTCTAATGGTGATTTTCTCTTTCCCACATTCTTTCTATAGTTAGTGATTGGAATTCTTCTGTAAGGATGATTTGTCCCTTCTCCTCCATTTGTTTATTTATTTATTCATTTGTTTATAACAGGGGCTGGCGCGGGATCGGGCAGTGTTTCGTTCTGCTGTGCATGGGGTCTCTATGAGTCGGAAATGACTCCACGGCATTTTAACAACAACAACAACAACATAACGGGGTGGAGTTAGTTGTTTATATTAGTGGGCATTCGTTTTACTCTTGGGGTTATAGTCCAATAGTAGCATAATTTATTTTGTTGCTTAAATTGTCCTAGCTTTGATCATTGAATGCTCTTCCAGGTTAGCTCCTCTGTCCTTTTGATAGCCCCACCTTTTTTTTTTTTTTCTTCTCTCATTTTTTTGGCACTATAAGATGTACCTGGTTAATTTTGTATTTTCCTCAGCTTTAGATACAACCATGTCTTCAAGGAAATATTGGTTCTTTTGGAGCATGTTGTTGTTGTTGTTGTTATGTGCCGTTGAGTTGGACCCGACTCATAGCGACCTCTCCTTGGGTTTCCAAGGCTGTATTACTACAGAAATAGATTGTCCCATCTTCCTTACGAGGAGTGGCTGCCTTCTGGTTAGCAGTCAAGTGCCTTAGGCCCTGTGCTACCAGAACTCCAGAGCATAGTATATGGAAATCAAATCTGGATGCTGGGTATCCATGTTGTTCCTGGGTTGTCATTGCTTCTAGGCTCTTAGCAGATAGAGGTAGGAAGTGTATGTCTGTGTAATAACCCATGAATCCAGATATCTCCATGTTTATTTCTTGTCATA